TCAAAAGAGATGTGGGTGGCGCTGTGGTCTAAACCACTGAGCCTCTTGGGCTTGCCGATCAGAAGGTTGGTGGTTCGAATCCACACGACGGGGTGAGCTCCCGTTGTTCATTCCCAGCTTCTGCCAACCTAGCAGTTCAAAAGCACGCCAGTGCAAGTAGATAAATAGGCACTGCTGCGGCGGGAAGGTAAACAGTGTTTCCGTGCACTCTGGTTTCCATCACGGTGTCCCGTTGCACCAGAAGTGGTTTAGTCATGCTGGCCACATGACCTGAAAAGCTGTCTGTGGACAAACTCGGCCTGAAAGCGAGAAGAGCACCACAACCCCATAGTCACCTTTGACTAAACTTAACCGTACAGGGGTCCTTTACCTTTTCTTTTTACCTTACCCCAATCCATGGGGGAGGAAAATTGGGACATGAACATTTGCCCACCTCTGTTCCACTATACCCCCAACAGCCAGGCCCCACTGCCCCCCCCCCATTGGGATAAAACCTATACAGTGGGAAAGAATATGTACTTGTGTACACCAATCAAATGCACCTTGTTAAATTAAAATATGCACCACACAAACAAGCACATTCAGGACTCTGCATGGCAAAATACAGGTGGATGTAGCCTGTTCGTTGGCAAACACCTGTTCCCATTCTAAAATGGCTCTTTTCTTTCAGATTAAAAATGAAAATGGTGATTAGCCAGTGCACAGAAAATAAGCCCAATTTCAGATCAGCAGCATAATACATCAGAGGTGGGGGAAACGCTAAAATATACATGTAATTTTCTCAACAGAGTGTTTTTCTGAAGGATATATTTTGCTCACAGTGCAGTCTGCACGTGCCGGATGCTCGACAGATCAGGCTGGTTTGCTGGAATCTTTAATTACACTGTTAATTGTTGAGCATAAAATGGAGTCTTTGCTATAAGATTTCTCAGACAATGAAAATGGACCGTAGCAAAGAGGGAGGATTAATGCTCAGTCGTGCTTAATTAAAATTTAGCTAGGTGAAATATTTAATGCTTAAGGATTTGTCCCTTTGGGAAAATTTGGGGGCTAATGTGGTTACATGTTGGAGGGAAAAAATAAATCACATTACCTTTAATATTTAAAACAATGATGGCCTGGGTTTGAAAAGCAAATTATTCTCTTTTCCCTCTTGGAACATAGTGGTGCCAAAGCCTAGTTAAGTATGCAGCTTAAATGTCAAGACTCACCCATCACACTCAATTTAATGACCCTGTGTTTGCTAAGGTACAGCAGGGACCAATACATACACACACTCTTTCTCTCTCTCCTTTCCTTTTGGAAAAGAGTATCATTTTATACGGCAAATCTATATGCATGTTTCCAAATTCCCTCTTTATTCATTCCCCGAACATCGTAATAAAATAATATTGCTTTAAGCTCTCCATAGCTTATTGTTTTCATTCAGCCTATCTGAATTACACGAAGATTATAAGGTTGGCGAATTAATGGATGGTGCAGGGTGTTTCTTCCCCAGTAAGGTGGGGGAAAAGAATCAGTAGCGGTGGCAAACAATGCCCAGAGCATGACAAGGTTATAAGTATTTAGGAACATTTGTCTTCCTGCGTGTCTCATTAGTAGTATTGCAATAGAAGAAAGCCAAATAAAATCTGCAGAGCCGCCATTGAAATTGCCCAGATGCCCACACTTTAGTGACAGAGTAATCTCAGGTGAATTATATAGACCACGACAGTTGAGTGGGGTGGGGGGGAATGTGGAAAAAATGAATTTAGTGTAATGGCAGCTAACGGCCTTGTTGCAATGTTGGAGGTGGTGTGTGTTTGTGCATGAGAGAGAAAGGGAAAAAGTGAAATGGAATTATGCACTTGTTAACTGTACAGTAATGAAATATCTTCTGGGTAAAAGGCCTTCAGGCCTGGGTTCAGGGTGGAAACCAGACTCCCCACCAGCATAATGCGATTTCTCTGAACTTGATTTCCACTACAGATCCACTAAGCTAGGGCCCACCACTTCCTCTTTCCTGGAGCTGGTACTGTTCTATAATTGCGGTTGCTAATTAACGCATGCTGCTGGCTGAGCGGCCAGTCCACATAAATCTAGTTTGGTCCGGCAAGACCGCAACGGAAGGAGCATCTCTCCAACAGAGGTCTAATGGATCTTTAGCAAATCAGACACACACACACACACACAGAGAGAGAGAGAGAGAGAGAGAGAGACAGACAGACAGACAGACACACACGCATGCACGCACACACACACATCTAACTTAGTTTCTGCCTGGGATGTGGCATGTACCCTTGTGTCAATATTATGACAATCTAAAAACACACAAACACCACTGAACCTAGAGCCCTACTTATGGTCCTCACTACTTCACTTTTAAACCACTTATGGAAGGGAAGTAAAACAAACAACCAAACGAAAACAAGCAGACAAAAAAACCCCTGCTCCTCATAGTTAATTATACTTCAGCAAATATATTTAAAATGGTTCCTACTTAATGCGAGACAGTATATTTAAGGCCGCAGTCCTAAACACACTTATGAGAGATGGAGGTAAGCCCCACTGAACATGGGCTACTTCTGTGTGTACAGTTACAGGATGGCACCAAATTGTTTGCAAATCGCGCAAATTGCAAATTTTCAAATCGCAAATCGCGTTTACTAGCCAGACCTTAGACCTGAGCTACTTCCTAGCTCAGGTGTGGCATAACTAGGGAGGGGGAGAAATTCAGCCAATCCGTTGCTCTCAGCATTCTTCTTCTTTTCTTCTTTGGAGATCACTCGTAGCTTAGCAAGACTGTCTTCCATAAACATGGTTTTAACAGTGAGTCCATAAGTAATTGTGGAGCCAATTCTGGACCCACACATCCTTCCACAGTGGGGACATTGATTCCTGGGCAGGAGTTGATCACGGTGTGGATTTGCCAAGCGTGCCTTCCTCTTAGCACGTTTCTCCCTTGCGTTCTGAGTTCAAGTGCCTTCAAAGTCCGTGACACCTTTGGTAAAGGCTGTTCTCCGACTGGAGCGCTCGCAGGCCAGTGTTTCCCAGTTGTTGGTGTTTATAGTACTTTTTGTTTTTTGCCTTGAGACAGTCTTTAAACCTCTTTTGTTGACCACCAGCATTATGCTTTCCATTTTTAAGTTCGGGATAGAGTAGTTGCTTTGGAAGACGATGATCAGGCATCCGCACAACATGACCAGTCCAACAAAGTTGATGTTGAAGAATCATTGCTTCAACACTGATGATCTTTGCTTCATTGTGCACCTGCACAATCCTTAGCTCCCTGCCCCTCACCCCTATGCTCAGGGCCAGCAACACAATGTGTTTGGCAAAGGTGCCAACTTGAAAATAAATTATTGCGGGAGGTAGGAAAGCCCCACTCCAAAAAAACCAATCACAAGATGCGGCACACACAACACTTGAATGGCAATGTCCATCAGCTTGGGGAGGGGGCAGCCCCCTCAAATATTTTATTGGGGAGGGGCTGAAGGGGCTTTGGTCCTTAGGAGTTGGCTCCTATGGTGTTTGGAATCACAGAAAGCAGCAGTACTCCTTAACTTACCCTAAAAAGCCACAGTTCGTGCCACAGGTATTGACATAGATATCCCCCCCACCCTCACCCACTCCAGCATGGTCCTGGCGATACCATCTTTAAAATATGTAATGAAAGGATGTGAAGGTCACGGAGGAAAGGTTTTTAAATTAGTTTTCAAAGTTTCTACGTTGAACCCTAGATTGCATGGGCTGGAGGGGAGGGGGGAATATGAGGGGGTATAAATGTTTAGTTTCTCTCCTAAAACTCCTTGTAGAGAGTGACATTTCAATTTTCTCCAGCTTTCAAAAAGCTTGATTTTACAACTCTACAACTCAGCTGCTGCGAGGCACTTTCTAGCCCTGTAATAAAGTATACTGAGTGGGAATCCAAGCAACATCAATAAAAAAAAGACACTAATCATCCGGGGAAGAGGGGGATCACTTCCCTGTATCCTGGTGGCTTCTAACTGAACTGGCGTGCATTATGGTTCCTTTCCAAATCCACACATTGGCCTACATCCTACACTCCTCAATTTAAATGATAAGTTTGCTCGACAAACTAACTTGGTAGGAAATTGTACCGCTAACGTGTCGCTTTGCGTAAATGCTCCGAGTGCATCTTTTTCATTCATTTGCTCATTCAAGAGATGCAAGAACAGAAGAAGAACCCTCTGAATTTGGTCAAGTGCCTTCTTCTGGCAGTTCCCTCACTGCAAGAAGTGAAGTTACAAGGAGCCAGGCAGAGGGCCTTCTCGGCAGTGGCACCCTCCCTGTGGAAGGCCCTCCTGTCAGATGTCAAGGAACTAAACGACGACACAACGTTTAGAAGACATCTGAAGGCAGCCCTGTATCAGGAAGTTTAAAGGTGTGATTATGTTTTTATATGTGTTGGAAGCCGCCCAGAGTAGCTGGGGCAACTCAGCCAGTTGGGCGAAGAGGAAGAAGAAGGAGGAGGAGAAGAAGAAGAAGAAGGAGAAGGAGAAGGAGAAGAGGAGGAGGAGGAGGAGGAGGAGGAGGAGGAGAAGAGAAGAAGAAGAGAAGAAGAGAAGAAGAGGAGGAGGAGGAGGGGGAGAGAAGAAGAAAAGAAGAGGAAAAGAAGAGGAGGAGAAGAGGAGAAGAGGAGAAGAGGAAGAGGAAGAAGAGGAAGAGGACGAGGAAGAGGAAGAGGAGGAGAAATTGTCTTTGTTCATTATTTCTCTTTAGACCAGTTTGGTTTTTATCGTATTATATGCTGAAAACTTTAGCAACAACAAAAATTTGGCCAAGTGCCTGTGTCATCCAGCATCATCTTCTCAAAATGTCAACTAGATGCCTTGGAAACCCCACAAACAGTATTCAGAGGAATGCTGCTTCCAGCATTATAAAGGAGAACATGGCCATTAGGTCTGGTAGGCACTGGTAGTTGTATCCTTCGTGAATTTGTCTGATCAATCATGACATCTGGTGGGAGCAAATTCCATGGTCTAATTTAAAAGCAGAGAGCCATTTTAGAATAGGAACAGGTGTTTGCCAGGAAACAGGCGACACCCAGCTGTATTGTGGGATGCAGAGGCATGAAAGCGATTTGCATGCATGGTGCATATTTCAACGAGTTGCATTTGACTGTCAGCGCAAAGCCGCCCTATTAGATCCTTCGCCCTCTCCAGAAAATCTCCAATGTTGCTCAGCAGAGATTCCTCAGCACTCTGGAACAGGTTACTTGTGCAACAGCAGAGGTAAGGGAGATGACGCTTTGGTGGGTTGGAAAGAGAAAAAGGAAGAGGACGAAGTTGAGTAAGCTGATTAAAATCTGAGGTGGCATCACGGTAAAGGTAAAGGTAAAGGGACCCCTGACCATTAGGTCCAGTCGTGGCCGACTCTGGGGTTGCGGCGCTCATCTCACTTTATTGGCCGAGGGAGCCATCGTACAGCTTCCAGGTCATGTGGACGGCATGACTGAGCCGCTTCTGGTGAACCAGAGCAGTGCACGGAAACACCGTTTACCTTCCCGCCGGAGTGGTACCTATTTATCTACTTGCACTTTTGACGTGCTTTCGAACTGCTAGGTGGGCAGGAGCAGGGACCGAGCAACGGGAGCTCACCCCGTCGCGGGGATTCAAACCACCAACCTTCTGATCGGCAAGTCCTAGGCTCTGTGGTTTAGCCCACAGCGCCACCTGCATCCCGGCATCACGATACTCACCTTGAATTAGAGATAAGCATTATGAACCACCAGAGTATGTAATCCAGGTCTAAGAATATAACTTTCAGTGGCATCTGTATTGGGAAAGAGGTTTCACAGACAAAAGAATATCTCAATTAGGATCAGTGCCTAGGGGCAAAGAGAAATTAGACTCTTCCCTATGATTACAGATGCAAGTATCCCACTCACTAATAAAGGAAACGTAAATGAATTTCCCAAATGAAGGGAGGAATGAGGGGAGTCCTATCGCTCAGCGATAGGACATCTGCATTGCATGCAGAATGTCCCAGGTCCAATTCTCCAGCATCTGCCGGTTGGGTAGGGAAAAGACTCAAGCCTGAAATCCTGGAGAGCTGCTGCCAGTCAGTGTAGACAATATTGAGCTAGGTGGACCAGTGGCCTCATTTGGTATAAGACTGCTGCCTATGGACTTGTGTTCCTGTAAGGAGGCAGTGAGAGATTTTACTTTCTTGGATTACATGATCACTGCAGATGGTGACAGCAGTCACGAAATTAAAAGACGCCTGCTCCTTGGGAGAAAGGCGATGGCAAACCTAGACAGCATCTTAAAAAACAGAGACATCACCTTGCCAACAAAGGCCTGTATAGTTAAAGCTATGGTTTTCCCAGTAGTAATGTATGGAAGTGAGAGCTGGACCATAAAGAAGGCTGATTGCCGAAGAATTGATGCTTTTGAATTATGGTGCTGGAGGAGACTCTTGAGAGTCCCATGGACTGCAAGAAGATCCATTCTGAAGGAAATCAGCCCTGAGTGCTCACTGGAAGGACAGATCGTGAAGCTGAGGCTCCACTACTTTGGCCACCTCATGAGAAGAGAAGACTCCCTGGAAAAGACCCTGATGTTGGGGAAGATGGAGGGCACAAGGAGAAGGGGACGACAGAGGATGAGATGGTTGGACAGTGTTCTCGAAGCTACAAGCATGCGTTTGACCAAACTGTGGGAAGCAATGAAAGACAGGAGTGCCTGGCGTGGTCTGGTCCATGGGGTCATGAAGACTAAACAATGACAACAAGGGCAGAGCCAGCCCAAGACATTTCAGCACCTGAAGCCAACCACAAAATGGTGCCTCCCTCCCCTGAAGGGAAGAAGGGATGAGTGACGATACACATCAGGAACAAGGGAGGCATAAATATCTACATCAGGATCTGCTGCCCCTGTGGATCCTGCAACCTGAGGCGGTCGCCACACCTTGTCTCATGGGTGGGCCGGTCCTGTGTAAAGGTAAATTACAGGGTTTAGCAGTACTGAACAAGATTACAGGGTTAAAACTAGGAAGATATATAACAAACAAATTGGAAGAAGAATGTCAACCCTTTAGGGACTTTTGAAATGCTAGACGAAAAGCAGATTGCAGTCATACATTCCTTCTGCTATAAGCTAATATAAAAGATAGATGCCGCTTCCAGTTGACTTGCTTAATGAACATTCAGCCTGATTTGCTCGTGAGGAGATTAGATGATGGTGCATCAAGCAAGTCTTATCCCACAATTTCCACTGCATTTTCACTTTCCTTCTTACGAAAAGTCAGAGCTCCAAACCAGCTTTAATTGTGCAGCCTAAATCCTCCAGTTTGTGATTGAATCTCGCTGAAAACAGATCTCTTTCTTTGTCTAATTTGAGCTTTTGAAGAGATTGCTTAAAATATCTAGAACTATCCGGTTTGGTTTGAAATGTGTAAGGGGTCTTGATTTAAAATAAATTAATAAGTAATCTGGGATATGCTCCAGCTCAAACTCTTGAGGTTTTCACCCCCACTTCTTCAACTCAGTTCCCCCCATTGCAGTATCAGTTTGTGGGTTCTTTGTGTCGCAGGTGCCGGAACTCACCATGAAGTTGTTACAGTTAGTCACAGTACAGTATGGTTACCAGATGTCCCCATTTCCCGGGGACAGTCCCCAGATTTACAAATCTTTCCCCAGACAAAATCCATCCCTGGAATGTCCCTGGATTTCATTTAATGTCCCCGGATTCATATTTTAAGTGTTATAGATTTATTAGTAGGGAATGAATGTTGCGTGATTGGTTCAACGGCACAAGATACATCATATGGAGACTTCCGGTGAGGTAAATGGCAGGCGCCACAGCGGCGAGCAGCTCCTGAGGCCAACCAGAGCCAACTGCGTGCGCTACCAGGCTGGTTCTGGGCTGTTTAGACTGCCGCCGCCACTGCCGAGGGGGAACTGGGGATGCCCAGCGCATCAACTGGGGGAGCCACTGACCCCCCCCAATTGAGCTGGGAGCAAGAGCACCCGGCTGACGGCGCAGCAGCGCTCTGGGGCCAGGAAAACCCCGGAGCCGATGCAGGGAGAAGGAGGAGAGGAGAAGGAGAAGGAAGAGAGAGAAAGAGGAAGGAGAAAAAAGAGGGGACCCCCGACCTTGCAGCACCGCTGCCGCCGCCGCTGAGAAGGAAAGGTACGAAAGCAAGGACACGTGGCCGAGCCCAGGCCCAACCCGAGCCTACTCCACGGTGGCTGGCACTCCAAGAGAGCAGGCTGGGACCCAGAGGAAGGCCACGTGACAGAGGACACCACAGAAGAGAAGATACTACTTCTTTCTTTTTTAAAAAAAAAACTTTTTAAAAAAATAACTTTTTTTTTTCTCTTTTCAAAATAAAAGTGTCCCCAGATTCTTTGAAAAAGAATCTGGTAATCTTACAGTACAGGCCTGGCTGGAAACCTCAAAGCCCATCGCTGCAACATGGGAAATGGATTGAAGAAAAGGAAATATTATTTGGCTTTACCTCATAACTTGACGAATCGCGGCTAGGAGCAGCTAGGAGCTAGGTGGAGTCATAGATCTTAAAAAAGGGATAGACTCGTACACGCTGGCCAGCTTCCATTTTGACTTGAAATGTTTGTTTGGGGCTTCTCAGCAGTACATAAAGGCAAGAAGTGGGTGGGGGAAGTGCTGGTCCGCAATGTCACCCACCTGATAGGTGGCTGAAAAAAGCACTGAGTTCCGTTTATTTATGTTTATATAGATATGCACACATCCGTACATTGAAAGAACAAATACTGAAAAGAAAACAACTAAGCAGTAATTACACAGCTTGCATAAGATTATGAGTCAACTTTAAATAGCAATGATTAATATTATAATCCAGAATCTTAGCATTGATATTATATACATTGGTGGTGGGGAAACAGTTTTGCCTAACGTAATGAATTCTTGTTTTCATTAATATGCACGGGGTTTTTTTTATGTAAGCTTGCTTTTACTGGTACACAATTTTGATTGTAGAACAGCATCAGAAAATCCAGAGAAGTGCACATCTTGAAGGACAGTGCAATTCAGTTCACGTACTGGTTCCGGAAGTGCAAAATAGGTAGGCTTCCATTAAAATGCTAACAAATCTAATTTCTTCCTCATCCCTAAGTATGAAGAATGAAGTAAAAAAGCAATTTGGGTTGCCTTCAGGGGGAAATCTAGCTGCATCAACTGGACCAATCTCATAAGAGACTCGCAGTGTGCATTGGTGACACCTTTCCTAATTAGTTCTGATACCCTTGTTTACAAGTCTAGCCATGAGATTTTTCAAGACCTCAATTGAATTCAGCTCATAAAGTTCTATTAAAGCTCCACCAGCATAATTTATGACCAGCCGCTCTCTATTGTAAAGAAACAGAATGCTAATGATCTTGGAGTCCTGGTGAGGTCTTCAGAAGTACTAAGCATCACAGCTCTCCTGGGTATATATTGTAATATCCCTCAGGACCAAGACACACATGATGAAAAGATCAATTATTAGATCTTTCAGTGGTGCTTTGTTTTGATTTTTAAACACTGAAGCAGCTGCAGAAGACCCTGCTTTTGATCAGATCAACAATACTGACAGGAATGAGCGTTTAACTTCTCCTTCTGCTCCACTTACCTGATCTGAATCAACCCCCTGAAACTGCTATTAGCCCTACAGTGCAAAAACAAACAAACAAACAAGCCCACCCCAGGTACCTGTGTTGTGTTACTGGCTATTGGGGTTTGTTGACATGCCAATCAAAATCAGAATCCTCTGTGGCTGCTTTGGATTAAAACGTTGTTTTGTTAAACTGCATAGTAACAATGATATATGTATAGCCCCTGCCATTTTAGTTGAGCTTCTGCTGCTGTGTTATTGATTGATTTACTTGTTCTTATATTACATTTCCATTGTTTGGTTTTAGTTCTGGCTTCTTGATTGCCACATTGGAGATCCTGTTTGGTCCCAAAAGGTGGAAGATAGAGATATATAAAACAAGCAAATCGGAAGAAACAACAAAAGTCTTTAAAACCAGTTCAAAAGGGCCAAGATCCTAAATTTGGGACACAACAGCAGACATCTGGAGATCATAATGAAGAATTCTCACCGCTACGGTGGACACCAGTCACATGGATGATGTAATCAGCAAGAGGTTCTGTGGGGAAGGACCTGTAAAAAGTGGGGAATACATATGGAAGAGCTATTCAGTGAATAAGGTAAAAAGGTAAAGGTAAAGGACCCTGCATGGTTAAGTCCAGTCAAAGGTGCCTATGGGGTTGTGGCACTCAACTCGCTTTCAGGCTGAGGGAGCCAGCATTTGTCCACAGACAGCTTTCCAGCTCATGTGGGCAGCATGACTAAACCGCTTCTGGCACAACGGGACACTGTGACGGAAGCCAGAGCACACAGAAACACCATTTACCTTCCTGCCACAGCAATACCTATTTATCTACTTGCGCTGGTATGCTTTTGAACTGCTGGGTTGGCAGGAGCTGGGACAGAGCAACGGGAGCTCACTTCGTTGTGGGGATTAGAACCGCTGACCTTCTGATCGGCAGGCCCAAGAGGCTCAGTAGTTCAGACCACAGCGTTCTGTTCAGTGAATAGGACGGGCCATATCACAGAGGTAGAAGATCTCATACCCTAAACGGCCTTGGTCCTGTATACCTGAAGGAGCGTCTCCACCCCCATCGTTCAGCCCGGACACTGAGAAACAGCGCCGAGGGCCTTCTGGCGGTTCCCTCATTGTGAGAAGTGAGGTTACAGGGAACCAGCCTTCTCAGTAGTGGCACCCACCTTGTGGAACGCCCTCCCATCAGATGTCAAGGAAATAAACAACTATCTGACTTTTAGAAGACATCTGAAGGCAGCCCTGTTTAGGGAAGTTTTTAACATTTAATACTGTATTGTTTTTAACACTCGATTGCGAGCCGCCCAGAGTGGCTGGAGAAACTCAGCCAGATGGGCGGGGTATAAATAATAAAATTATTATTATTAATTATTATTCCCTCAAATACAAAGCGACCCCAAAATAGGACATCTTTTGGAGCCGCATTCCCGCATGAGTCTTGTTTGGGGGGGGTGAAATTGCTGCCCCTGAAGAAGCACTTTTTCGAGGTTAGAGCGAGTCCCAAAATTGTACGAGATCCTGGCGGCCATTTTGGTCACTGTCCTCTCACGAGAAAAAAGGCAATGTTCCATTTTTTTCCAGGGCAGTTGAAGGGTATGACACCTGCTTCATGTGCAGAAGGTCCTGAGTTGAATCTCCAGCATCTCTAGGTAGGCCTGGGAGAGCCTCCATGTCTGAAATCCAGGAGAATCGCTGCCAGTCAGTGCACACAATACTGAGCTAGATGGATCGATGGTTTGACTCATCATAAAGCAACTTCCTCTATTTCTAAAGTCAAAACCCTAGAAAGAAATAATTAGGATTCAGCCACTAGAGAGAGAAAGTTGCACCTCTAAAATGAGAAAAGCAGCGGGTAAGAAAACCATCACAATTTTTCCAGCATTATTTACCTGGATGGCCTGCAGGGAACACCAACCATCCAAAGTCTATACACACTTGCTATATACACACAATTCTTATTCAGTGGGATTATGCTGACTTCAAACTAAAGGGAAGACACCGAATGAATTCTGGTAATGAACAGAGATGAATAACTAAGGTTCTTTCCCTAAGCAAAATTCTCCAGTATGGGAATACAGTGGTACCTCAGGTTAAGTACTTAATTCGTTCCAGAGGTCCATTGTTAACCTGAAACTGTTCTTAACCTGAAGCACCACTTTAGCTAATGGGGCCTCCTGCTGCCGCCGCGCCGCCGGAGCACGATTTCTGTTCTCATCCTGAAGCAAAGTTCTTAACCTGAGGTAATATTTCTGGGTTAGCGGAGTCTGTAACCTGAAGCGTATGTAACCTGAAGCGTATGTAACCCAAGGTACCACTGTACTTCTGGAATGCTCTCTCTGGAGAATCACACGTAGGAAATGTCATGTTAGATTACAAGGTCCATCATCTGTTTTTCTCTAAGTGCAACGTCAATTGGAATTGAAAACCCATGTGGATTTTCATGGAAAGATCCTCAAGCATGAGCTGAGTCTTCACTCCTTAAACCTCAGCAGGAATTTCCAATGCTGGGAAATATAAGGAAAAAGAAGGAACCTTTTATCATATGTGGTGGGATTGTAAGATAGTAAAAGGATTTGGGGAAATGATATATAATGAGTTGAAAAAAATATGTTTAAAATAAGCTTTGTTTAAAAAAAGCCTGAAGCCTTCCTTTTAGGAATTCTAGGAACCAAAATCCAAAGGGAGCAGAAAAGACTATTTATGCATGTGACCACGGCTGCCTGGATGTTATTGGCCCACAGATGGAAAGAAGATAAAGTCCCTACCAGAGAAGAATGGCAGTTGCAGTTGATGGACTATGCCAAAATGACTCAAATGACTGGAAGTTAGAAATCAAGAAGACCAAAATTTTAAGAAGGAAAGGGGGAGATTTATGACTTATCTTAAAGACCATTGTAAACAGTTAAAATTGTTAGTAGGATTGGAATATCACTTGTAGTTTAAGGTGAATTCTGGACATAATGGAAGAGGTAAATAATTTGGACTATCATAAAAGATGTGGGAGGAAATGATTAATAATAGGCCCCACAAAGGGGAGAATGGAAGTCCAGGAGATTCCTTGGAATCTTGTTTTTATGATTTATGTTTGATATATCTCTGCAAAATTTTAATTTGAAAAACCAAATAAATAAATTTATTTAGAGAAATGAAAAATAAAAATGAATTATCAATGCTGACATAGGAATAATAACAGAAGGAGACAATCACAATTATCATATTCACCAGACAAAGATATTTAAGGTCTCATAAACAACATGAACTCAGTAGAACTTGATGTATACAGTCATACCTTGGGTTACAGACGTTTCAGGTTGCATTTTTTTGGGTTGCGGACCGCCAAAACCCGGAAGTACCAGAATGGGTTACTTCCGGGTTTTGGCGGTTGCGCATGTGCAGAAGCGCTAAATCGTGCTTTGCGCATGCACAGAAGCGCCGAATCGCAACCCGCGCATACGCAGATGCACTGCTGCAGGTTGCAGATGCTGCGGATTGCAAATGTGCATCCCGCACAGATCACATTTGAAACCCGAGTGTCCACTGCATTGGGGCAAAAGGGGCACTGCCCCACTGATCTCATTCTGCCCTCAGCCAGCCCCCATCTGACTGCTTTCTTACATCCAATCCAAGGGGTGGCACTGCTTGCAAGGTTCCTCCTCTTCAGTCTCAGTGCTGCCTTTGTAGAACTCATGGAAACAAAAGTAGAATTCATTGCTTCTGCCTCTCAGTGACTCTGGCACCACCTGCTGTTGAACTCCTACACTACCGTCCTATCAGTCCTAATGGTAACCAACCAACACAGCACTAACTGAAGATAATTCCCCAAGCACTTGAACCATTATTTCTTCAGATTAAAGCCTATTGGGATGGAGTTGTACTAAGATTCTTCTTAGCCCCCGTTGACTATAATGGGGAATCTATAAATGGCTATAACTTCCCTCGCTTTCACTTTACGAAAGTTGCAGTCAAAGGAGCTCCTCCAAAAGGGATTAGGCCTACCATATTTGAGGAAGATCTAAAACCAGGGATTTCCCCCCACACACACACCCAGAGAACCTTTTAACTTAAAAAGAAAAGAGAGAAAATGTCGCTCATTCTCAATCATTCTTGGGTGTATTACAATACTGCGTAAGCTTCTATTTTAAGAATTTGGGTTGCAAAGTTAATTAATGTTCCACTGTCCTTCCTCCCCACCTCCCAATGAAAATACAGTAGTTTAAAAGTCTTGCTACTTGTAGTTTAGCATTATCCTTTTGCTGCTTTATTCCCTGGCAGTTAGACACGGGAAGCTAAAAGAAAGCTTGTTGAAATGTTCTGCTGGGAGAGATCCAGTGTGATTCATCAGAAATGAGACAACAGCTTGCTATAAACTGGCTTCCCATTAATAACCCCCCCAGTATCGGGGGTATTAACCAGCAATAGAGCGTGAAAAATAGCAAAGCACACATAAGCCTGCGAAGAAAACAAGGAATGCCACCAGATTGCAAACAAATTCATGTGGAAACGGTGGCTGACGTGGTCAAGACACAGGAAGCCAGTAGGCTGAAAGATGTTAAAAACCATATAAATGAGACTTCATCCATATTTATGGTTTCTTCTCTAAAAGGACATTGAAGGAGGTCTGGTACTTTTTATTAAAAAATCAAGACTTACTGTATTTTTCGCCCCATAAGGCGCACCTGACCATAAAGTGCACCTAGTTTTTAGAGGGGGAAATCAAGAAAAAAAATATTATTTAACTCTGGTCTCCCAGGGTCTAGCCTAACAATGTAACCACTACTTCAAACGGGCTCTCTAGACATGTGTGCAAAACTGATCATCCTCAGAGTAGACCCTGTTATGTATGCAGGCATTGTAGACCGAAGCCAGGCTGAAAGCTTGCAATGCAGGTCTAGGTCTTCAGGCCTCCTGGAGCTCAGGAGCTTCATCTGCATCACAAAAGACAGAGAGAATTCTAAAATCCTCCAAAGGCATTGTTAGTAGCTGGCAGGCAGCCAATCCCTGCTGAGATAAGGCCGGTGTTGTGATTCGCTAATTGCACCATTAAGGCGACCTATCACAGGCGATGTGTGTATTTTGCCTGGGCCGGCTTAAGGTATATATACTGGGCCAAGTGCCCCTGTTTGTCATTCTTGTTCTTCCTGCTCCTGATATTCCATTAAATCCATATATATATATTTGATTTTTGCACAAATTTTCCAACATAACAACTCCAAAACAACATAACAATCTTTGGCTGTCACAGCCCGAGACTTCCTTCAACCCCTTCTAATGGTTTTCTAAATTTCTTTCTAATTTTGCATTTTATTACATTGCTTATTGCTATAAATCCAGCCTTACATCAGCTAATCTTAGTCCTTTTCAAGTCCTCCTTACAAAACTTCTTGTAACCCTACAAGCGATGTTAGGTAATTACAGTTGTCTTTCAAATGCAGCGTAAATTTCTTCCAGTCCTTTAGGAAAATCTGGCCCTCTGCTTTCGAACTTTCCCTGTTAGTCTCGCCAGCTCAGCATAGTCTATCAGTTTCATTTGCCACTCTTGTTGGCATTTCCTCTTAAATCCTTTAAATCCTTTTTGAGCTGAATCTTGGTCTTGAGTCATGCCTGAACCCACCTACACTTCAGACCCCTTGAAATTACCGTATTTTTTGCTCTATAAGACTCACTTTTTCCCTCCTAAAAAGTAAGGGGAAATGTGTTTGCGTCTTATGGAGCGAATGCAGGCTGCACAGCTATCCCAGAAGCCAGAACAGCAAGAGGGATTGCTGCTTTCACTGCACTCTTGCTGTTCTGGCTTCTGAGATTCAGAATATTTTTTTTCTTGTTTTCCTCCTCCAAAAACTAGGTGCGTCTTATGGTCTGGTGCGTCTTATAGAGTGAAAAAATACGGTAATTGATATGACTAATTTAGGTCCACTGATTTCAATGGGTCTACTTCCTCCCTCCTTCTCTTTCATACAAACAACTCCTTTGCTTGAGATGCTGGGTTCATACAGAGAAAGATTTTCATCCATGCCGAAAATACACTTATTGCTTCTGTTTAACATACAGAGTGGCATTAATAGCTCCTGAAACAAGTTGCCGTCTGAATGGATTTATAGGAGAGAGGGTCCTCTGGGTTCCTCTGAGGTTTCAAAAGCAGGGGGAGCAAGATGGCAAAGCTCATCTTGGTAGAACCTGGTTGTAGCAGATAAGAGCCCTGTGATTGTAATTTATTGAGACTAGGGAGGGGGGGAGCCACTTAATAAAGACCAGGTCAGGAAGAAAAAGACAAACAATGTGCAATGTTGCTTCATTTTGCAAGAGTTTATAACCTTCAGCAATGTCTGAGTCAGCTTTGGCTCAGACAAAGGCATGGCAGCTTTTTCTGAAGCAGAGCTGCCCCTAAACTGCTGGTGTCATTCATGTTCAATAATTAAGATGGGAGGACTGCTCCAATCCCGCATCCCAAAATTAGAACTGAGAGAATATCCCCTCTTCCTGTCTAGCCAGTAAAGGCTGCAGGCAGGGAGCCCAGGTGTTCCTTGCAACACTGGAAATTTTATTATTATTACTTATTAAAAGTGTTGTTGTTTTTTGGTCGTTTAGTCGAGTCCGACTATTCATGACCCCATGGACCAGAGCACGCCAGGCACTTCTGTCTTCCACTGCCTCCCGCAGTTTAGTCAAACTCATGCTGGTAGCTTCGAGAACACTGTCCAACCATCTCGTCCTCTGTTGTCCCCTTCTCCTTGTGCCCTCCATCTTTCCCAACATCAGGGTCTTTTCCAGGGAGTCTTCTCTTCTCATGAGGTGGCCAAAGTATTGGAGCCTCTGCTTCAGGATCTGTCCTTCCAGTGAGCACTCAGGGCTGATTTCCTTCAGAATGGATAGGTTTGATCATCATGGGACTCTCAAGAGTCTCCTCCAGCACCATAATTCAAAAGCATCAATTCTTCGGCAATCAGCCTTCTTTATGGTCCAGCTCTCACTTCCATACATCACTACTGGGGAAACCATAGCTTTAACTATACGAACCTTTGTTGGCAAGGTGATGTATTAAAAGTGTATACCTCCCTATACCCGTAGATCTCAGGGTGATTCACAACATAAAATTACAATATTTTGCCACCCAGACATGGTTGGACTCCCAGTCAGCATGGATGACGGAACGTGGAATCGTCAAACATCCGGGGGCAGTGTTAGAAACTCAAACATATAAGCTAATTGTTGGGTGTGATATTGGAGTGGAAGAAGTGAATATTGTTTACATATAGCATATAGAAGGATCGGGAGTCCCTTCTGAATTTTATTTCCCCCCTCTTAATCTTTTTTTTTTTTTAATTAAATATTTTTCTTTACTCCTTTCTCCTGCTCCTCTTTATTTTTATTGCATTTAGAGAAGTTTTAGTTTGGACAAAAAAAGAGGAAGTTTTGTACTTTTCTCTATAAACCCTAGGGACGCGGGTGGTGCTGTGGGGTAAACCATAGAGCCTAGGACTTGCCGATTAGAAGGTTGGCGGTTCAAATCCCCATGACGGGGTGAGCTCCTGTTGCTCAGTCCCTGCTCCTGCCAACCTAGCAGTTCGAAAGCACGTCAAAGTGCAAGTAGATAAATAGGTACCACTCCAGCGGGAAGGTAAATGGCATTTCCATGCGCTGCTCTGGTTCGCCAGAAGCGGCTTAGTCATGACCCAGAAGCTGTCTGTGGACAAACACCAGCTCCCTCGGCCACTAAAACGAGATGAGCGCCGCAACCCCAGAGTCGTCCACGACTGGACCTAATGGTCAGGGGTCCCTTTACCTTTACTATAAACCCTAATAACATCCCCCACACACATATACATGGCACCTTAAACCAAAGTACAAAATAAGAACAAAGGCAATCCACAGCACATTTAAAAGGGCATTGGATGTTAGTCAGCCAAAGGCCTGGCTAAAGAGCATTGGTTTTGCCTGGCACCCAAAGATGTATAATGGAGGTGCCAGCCAAACCACAAACTGCAGAAAAGGCCCATTCTTGTGTTGCCATCCTCCAGACCTCTCAGAAGGGAGGCACACAAGGTGTTGATTGCAAGGTCCAAGTCAGTTCACATGGAGAGAGGAGGTCCTGTGATAGGAATTTTGAGGTCTTAGTTATATGTTAAATGTTCATAAGTGTACCAACCACCGAGTGTACCACTGAGCACAATTCAAAGTGCTGGTGTTGACCTTTAAAGCCCTAAACGGCCTCGGCCCAGTTTACCTGAAGGAGCGTCTCCACCCCCATCATTCTGCCCGGACGCTGAGGTCCAGCGCCGAGGGCCTTCTGGCAGTTCCCTCATTGCAAGAAGCAAAGCTACAGGGAACCAGGCAGAGGGCCTTCTCGGTAGTGGCGCCCGCCCTGTGGAACGCCCTCCCATCAGATGTCAAAGTGATAAACAACTACCTGACATTCAGAAGACATCTGAACGCAGCCCTGTTTAGGGAAGCTTTTAATGTTTGATGTATCACAGTATTTAAATATTTTTTGGAAGCCGCCCAGAGTGGCTGGGGAAACCCAGCCAGATGGACGGGGTACAAATTATTATTATTATTATTATTATTATTATTATTATTATCATCATCACAGGAAGACTGACCTGGAACCATTTTTGATTCCCAAACTGTCCCAAACTGACCAAATGTTTTCTCTGCAAGATCAAAGGAAAATGAAAAAGACTCCCCATTGTCTTTTCCTTCACAAATCCTGTCTTAAGGGTATGTCTGTGTTTGAATAGGGTGTGAGCCTGTGACATGGCCCAGGAACTAAGTATTTATCATTACAAAAGACTGGCCAGGATCCCCAGGCAATCCAATCAAGTAACCTGCCAGACAGGAGATAAACAACAACAGGAGAAAAATAACATTCAAATTTCTGTTTCAGACCGCCTTTTCTGTGATGTAGGTATGATGTTTCTGGGGGTGGTCTTGATCTACAGGGTGGCAATTTCAAAATTCTTTATAAGGCCTTGCGCGCCATTGTTCTGGGTTCCTCCTCCTCTCCTGTGGGTGAGGGGAGCACCCTGTTGCAACAGATCAATAAAGATCAAGCTTACTAGCTGCTTTGCTTCTCAATATTCTCTGGCTGGCCTCTGTTATTTTCTCCTACCAATAGGGAACCCATGTAAGGACTCTATATGGGCTCTTGGATACCCCATAAGGGAAAAGGACAATTTTTGTTTACAACAGTCCTTGAAGTACTGCGATCCTGAACTGTTTAAGGCTTTAGACGTCAAAACCAGCACTTTGAATTGGGCCCGGAAACTAATTGATAGCCAATGCAGTTGGACCAGGAACAATGTAATATGCTCAAACCGTCTTGCCCCATTGAGCAACCTGGCTGTTGAATTCTGCACTAGCTGAAGTTTCCAAACTGTCCTCAGAGGAGAATGCATACAATTACACACAGGTTAAAATAACAAAGTGCAAATAATTTTAAAGGGGTTTATGTTGATATTTTTGTGATTTTTAAAAAGGGTTATTTTTTTATTTCGAGCTGCATGTTTTTATTTTATTGTTTATGAAAACTTTTCAGAGAACTTGACTGGGTGGACAGGTGTATTAATTGCAATAACTAAATTGAGAAAAGCACTTGTTCATGGTGGAATAATAATCTGAACATTTTCATCACTCTCATCTGAGCTGAGGTGGATTTTTTAAAAAAGTTTTTTTTAAAAAAAAAAATATTCACTTAAATCCTATGGGTGAATCTTGGTCTGGGACTTGAAACTTCTTCAGTCAAAAATATTTGCAGCTGAGAAAATGACACAGGTCATGCCATCTTACCCACTCCCTCTTTGAAAAAAAGAAGAAGGAACTTCAGAACTTCAAATGGAAGCTTTTACATTTTGAGAAAATGGCTTTGCAGTTGCTAGATGTGGTAAATCCTTTTTGAGAACATCTCCTTCCAGGATACAGGCAGTACAA